GAGTGGCCGTCCTAGACAGCTTCTTTAGGACACTAGTGGTGGGCGGCCCCTGGGCTCCCATAGCATTGCAGTAGTCATGGAGCACCACTTTTCTGGCCCAGTTCCAGCTTGCAGAACAGCTGGACCTTTGTCCCTTCATGATCCTCTAAGCCACTTTGAGAAGTCTTCTGATTGCGTCTTACACAATCCCCCTACTGCCAGATGGCATCCGCTCTCATACTCTTTTTCTCTGACATGGGCCCCGTGAGTCCCAGTTGTCTTCCCTGATGTGGGCTGGCCACTCCACTGCTGGCCTTTCCTCCTGCTGGCTCTCGACTTCCCGTGGGCAGCATCTCTCTCTGTCCTTGCCCAATCTGAATGTTTTCCAGCATTCTCCACCAGTTTTCTGGCTGAGCTAGAATACTTCACTTACGTAACCAGTTCACAAAAGACTGTTCACCTCATGTTCCATGTCCCTTGGAACTCTGGTGCCCAAATCCTCTCCTTTTATTATAGGATCTTGTCCTTAAACTCAATTTGCCTGGTATTCAGAGAGCACACTGGGATAGCAAATCATTTGAGAAGTACTCCTGGCACTGCGTTTAGAATCTCCCCTCTCCCTTTGGTCCCCATCGGCCTGTTCCCTCTTGTGTACCTCACACAAAGCATTTCTTCCCAGCGGGTGTATTAGTTATTCTTGCCCCCTCCCCTAGTTCCATTTTCTTGTTCCTCAGACTTCGAACCCATGCCTGAACTTGAAAGGTCACAGAGCTTAAACTCTCAAGCTCTGATTCTGGCCCTTACCCAAAACCTTGGGACAAATGCATTTTAGAATTCATAATTTTTGTATTTTAGAATACAAATAGAACATGTTATATAGCACCCTGTAATCCAGTGGTGTTTCTATCAATAGGAATATTCAAATGAGGTGGAATAAACAAAGACTTTAAGTGGCCTCATGGTGGTTCAGGTTTGACCTTTAAATGAATTCGCTACAAATGTAGAAAAAGCTTTCAGTCTTTGGATTGTTTTTTTGGGTGTCAGAATTGTAGATGAGGGATTATGAACTCTTAAACTCCTACATACATACGAACACATGGTAGGTAGACTGTCCCAGCCAAGGCTAGAGCTGTCTTGAAAACTTATTTAAAATGAAATATGATGCTCCCCACTGCCCTGTCAATGAATCCGTTAGTGTGACCATGACTTCTGCCCTTCTCCATGTCTGTGGAGGTTATTATGAGTGAGGCTGATGGTATAAGTTCTTCATCCCAAAACAGCTACACCATCTGGGATGGACAGATGGACATCCCACAGGAGGACGGCAAGAACCTATAGCTGCTGCTGCTCAGAGAAGCTCAGACATTCTTAGAGTGCCCCCCACCTTGGCCATGAGTTGCTTTGTACACGACCTCTGCGCACTGAGGTGACTCACATGCAGCCTGAGGAATAAAAGGTTCTTTTAAGCCAAAACTTCAGGCCAACCTCAAAAGCATTGATTTTTACAGATGCTGGCTATATTGAGGCTTCTCTGTACATTGAGATGGTTGATTCCTCATTATCCCTTTAAACTCCTTCTTCCCCAATCTAGAGTGTGTTCGGGTTAAATTAGTGGATTTATATATTAGACCTCTTCATCTGTGGTTTAACACATTGCCACCAGAATATAAGAAAATACAAGGGGACCTTCAGAAAGTGTATGGAAAATGGAATTAAAGCTCGAGTTTATTTTGGTGCCAAAACTTTTGCCAGTGCATGCATAGTTTTTTTTTTCTTATTATTATTTTTAAAATACATTTAAACATTGCATATCATTACAGCTTGCAAAATGAATTTTCCTAGCATAAATACACTATTAGTCCAGTTGAAGATATTATCATACACATTACTGTCAACAGATAATTTTCAAGTTTTGTGTCTCTTAAATGTTTTACTTCTTGCTTTTTCCCCTCGAATCCCTTTCTCTCACCCTCTCTCACTTCCCACCCTCCTCCCACACTGTCTCTGGTATCCACAGTTGTTCTCCATGCTTTAATATCTTCCAGTCTTTCCGTTTCTGCCATAGAGTGCAGACATTTGGTATATATTAAGTAAGGACATACAGTGCCTTGCTTTCATAGTCTGGCTTGCTTTGCTTAGCAGTGAATCTTCCACATTCGTCCACCTTCTATCAAATGCCAGGGTCTCATTTTTTATGGCTGAGTAGTATTCCATAGAGTTTATGTGCCACACTTTTTCAATCTATTCATCTGTTCATGGACCAAATTTGAGTTGGTTCCATGCCTTAGCAATTGTGAATAATAAACATGGATGTGCAAGTACTTTTCCGACTGAGTATATTCCTACCCTTTGGGTAGATACTCAGGAGTAGGACTGCTGGATCAGATGGTAGTTGTCTTTGAAGAACCTCCATATTGTTCTCCACAGTGGTCATCCTAATTTACATTCCCACCAACAGTGTAGGGGAGTTCCCTTTCAACACAGCCTCACCAGCACTTAACTTTTTTTTTTTTTTTTAATCTTACCCTTTC